GTGTTTAATGTGAAACAGTTCATATTAGAAATACATTGTACAATGTGATATCACTTAATACGAGAAAGAAGAATTATAACACTACTTCTAGAGGGGCATTATCATAGGAAAGGTATTGTGTTGTAGATGTGTGAGATTGACTGTCAGAGAGGCAGCTTTGCAGCATTTGCACAAGAAGAAACTATAGAAAGAAAAACGTACCCATCAGAGATCTATGGACTGAAGTGAGCTGTACTAAAGTGAGCAGAACTACACAGTAGAAATAAATGGGTCAAGGCACACAAACAAGGTATCGGACATCTATGTATTGTTTACTCTGAACATACATTTACCCCATTTGTTCCTGAGTAACTTGACATACAGCAGTTAAGGCAACATGAAAGGGACATTTCATGCATGTAAATATGCCGTATATATGCTGCTGTATCAACAAATCAACAAAAAGGCAAGTACTGTATGTTACATCAAAATCTCCACAAATCTGAAAAGAAGCAACATAAAAATAAATTTTGCTTCCAGTCTCAAAAAGTACAAAACATTTTGTGAGTAGGTTCATACAGGTCATTTCTGGATAGTTTCATACTATATATACAAAAAAGAAACAATGCTGCTTCATATTAAGCAGGATTTACACCAGTATCACATTTTTAACTTTACTTTTAACACTTTTGGTTTTATTAAAGGAAATATCAGATTTTCTTAGGTGCCAAAACAAAATGTAACAGGTCTGTAAAGGCTCACCAGAGAGCATAACATAAAGTTGACATGACTATAACAGCTGAATGCAGCGATTTCCATGTTGCTCAGCAAAACGCTTCACAAATGTATTTAGATCCAATGCCTTTGTGCGTTTTGATTTAAGTACAACCAAACTTGATAGTCTCTTTTCTGTCATAGTTGACCACAAATATGTCTTTATGAGCCTGAGACGTCAGGCTTAACTAACATCATAGTTAGAGAAATAACGTTCTGCAACCTGATTTTTATCATCTCAAAATCAGCATTGCAGCTATGCTAGCAACATTGTGCTTTCATTATGTTTTAATTTCTCTATAGATAGTTAATCAGTTTTTCCCTGTTTCATCCTGTGTCTCCTCTCTCCATGACCCCTGGCTCCCTCGCTTTTGCCCCTTTTGGTTTTCAATACTAATCAGTCTCAGTGGCTCTTGCGACATCTCGTGCTGCATCCACTGCAGTCCGACATTGGAAATTAGCAGTCGTAATTCTCAAATTATCCATAATTTATAAGCCTCGCAACCCCTATCGCCAACTCGGGTGGCAAGGCTGTCATTTAGGGTGGCATTTGCCACCCTATGCCACCCCAGTAGATCCGCCTATGAATGGGGGTGACGGATTATATCAGGTGGCTAAAATATATGATTTCCCTCTCATTACTCTAGCAAATAATGATCAAATGTCACCAAATCCACAGAGTTTGTTGTTGATGAGGAAAGGAATAAACACAGTTAAAGACTTGCAGTTCAATTCATTTCTTCCAATGTTATGTGTGACAGCATGTAGTATACTACACATTTATTTAATCCAGTAATCTGTCATATTTGACATTCGAACAGGATTTACCAGAAAGTCTACACACTCATCTCCACCCTTAGGGCTAAGCCCCTGATCTCCTAGAATCCTAGATCCGCCCCTGTATAGCACCATTGCTGAAAGTTAAGGATAGACTGAATAAACATATTAGGGGTGTAAAGTAGTCACTCAAAGTACTGGGTTTTCCAAAAGGTATTTCTTTTTACAGAAGTTTCCAAAACTCTTGACATCAATAAATGACATAATCATCAGAGATATGATGGCCCATTCTAGATAGGGGGCCAATAAGGGTACATGGTCCTGATGAATTTGTCTTGGCTCCTATTATGGTCCATATACTGAAGTCATAACACTAAACTAGTTTCCTATGATGATAAACACTGACCAATCAGATTTTTTACTTTTTATTTTAGCTTTCACAGCCAGATCATGGGTTAGAAACCTAAAATCTCAGAGCTGTTAGTGGTTCTTTTTCAATAAGAAATGAAAAATTGCCCTGTTTCTTGTTCATTTATTTTGTTGTTGTTAAATTGTTGTGTTTAAAAAAAAAACACTGCCCCCACTGACACCCACCCCCCGCACCCCCAATATGTTTTTGTCCATAACCTCCAATGAATAGTTTATCCCTATGTTATTTTATTATTTTTTTGCTTGTGTGTGTGTATTTGAATTTCTTTTCTATTTTGCATTTTTCAGAAGTTAGGAGACTCTGTGTTTCTCAGTTTTGTTCAATGGGTGCTTTCACGTGTTTGATGTGCTTTAAACTGACCACAGTTTGTTTTTTCCTTTGGTCAGTACCTTTCCTGCAGATGTGAATATATTAAAGTGAACCCTGGTCTGGGCCAAACAAACAAACCTACTTTTTAGAGTCCATCTTAAAACAAAACTGTTGTGGCTTGCTCCTTATAATATTAATTGAACATTTTTGATCTCACATTTGAGAAATGTACCTCTGCATTTAACCCATCCCCTTAGGGAGCAGTGGGCTGCCATCATGAAGCACCCGGGGAGGGTGTGGGGTTAAGGGTCTTTTTGCTCAGGGCCCCAGAGTGCATTCTGTGAGGATCGAACGGGTACTTGCAACTTTCTCACAGCACAAGGGCCCTGTTCTAACCCACTAGGCCAGCGCTTCCCCTAGTGTGAATATGAACCAGCCTTAATCAGATCCAACTCCAGATAACTCTTTGAACTAAATCAGCCACTAAACAGCAATAAACAGAGTACTAAAATCATATCTGATCTACCCTCTGTTGTCTAGCATTAATGCTGCGGCCAGCATGCTGTGACTTGCTCCAAAGTTAGAAGTAAAAAAACCCAGAACCTGAGTTGAGTTTGCTGCTTCCTTTAATACTCACACATTTTTCGCTCTGTAATAACAGCAGAGAAGCTGTACACAGCAATCCAGTATTGTTCCTCCTTTTCTGAGGTTTATGTTATGTCCCATCACAATATCCGATTAGAGAAAAGATTATAACACTTATGCTTGTTACAAGTTATGGTTCATTTGCAACAAGTACATTATGAAAGCAATGAACAAACACACATATATATATATATATATATATTACAAGATTTGGTCATATCAGCCACTTCAACTTTCTGTAGGCGGTGCGTCCCATGCAGGGGTTTTTCATCCCATGATGGTTCTTCCAATTCCTCTATTTTTCAGCTTCCACTATCGGAGTCATTCACTGAGAGTTTCATGCCTTGGGGTCATCTACCTGATGAATTCATGGAGCCTAGATGTTTATTTTGAGGCCAATGCATTATCGCAGCACATTATCTGATTAATGGTAAGACATAGCCGTCGACTGCCCAGACTTCTCAGAACTTGTTTACACACTGCAGATAGTTTGCTGCTGCTGCTTTCCTCGTGGCCTCTTTGTGGTTGTGGTATTTCAAGGTAGTTATAGTTCTCTTCTATGTCTTCTCGCTTTTGTGAGAGCAATACCCTCTGTATGGATTACCTTCCCTCTCCTTGTCAGCATCTGGCCACATTTCTCCAGCCTGAATGACATCCTAATATCTCTGCCATAGATCCTGGTGGTGTGGATGTATTCCAATTTGATTTTTTGATTTGGAACAAAGGACCCTCCTAGTGTGAATGCACCATTCTCCCTTCCTCAGTTTCTTTCTATTTAGCTCACATTTTGATCAAACATTCTGATTTATTCTTTAAAACGTTTACCATCTGCAAGCTTATTTCACTGATAAAGAAGCACAAAACATACAAATTATCCAAGTAGACTACTAATGAGTGTCCCTGTAAGCAGAACTGATCATTAATAGTTATAAAGGATAAAAAACACATTCTTTTTATTTTAAAACTTTATTTTGTCTAGGAAAATATTCCACGGCTTCAATGAATCCCATTGTAAACCCCTTACAGCAGCAATATCTAAGGTTTATCAACATATTCTCATTATCAGTTCGTATGAAACGTACGAAAAGTTATGCACACTATTTCGTACGTTTTGGACGTTTTTCCTCAAAAAAAACAGATCAGTGCCCATGCGCAGGCAGACAGACAAAAAAAGCAGATCCGAGGTAAAATTGGGAAAAACAGCAATTACTTCTTCATGTCTCTAACTACGTTGCCTTCTGTTTTATATCTTAGGGTTAGGGTCAGGGTTAGGGTTAATTGTATGTTAAAACGTCCAAAACGTACGAAATTACGGTGCATAGCTTTTTGTACGATTTCATACGAACTGATAATGAGAATATGTTGAATTATTTCGAAGCCTGAAAAATCCACAAGTCTCCAAGAAATAAAAACTGTTCATTTAAAATCTGTGATTAGTAATGAAAATACCATATCCTACAGTACCAAAAAATCACTATGCATGTAACAATTCTATGTTTATTACACCCAATATGGATTCAACCTCTGGTTTCATACACCATGGTTTTTTACTCTTAGTAAAAAAATAAACCAATATCCATTGTTCTTTCTAAAACATCTTGATTTATTTAACAGTATGCTGATTTTCTTTATAATCATGTGCTGTAACAAATGTATCAGTGAAGTCTTATTAGAAAGTTAAATTAAATTTAATAAAAAAAGGAAATCATGAAGACAACTCATAGCAGTCCTAAAGCTACACAGTGCTTCTCTAACGATGCGCTTTAATGCTGTAGTACAACTGTGAGGACTGTCAGTAGAAGACTTTAATATTACAAGTAAGGCTTTTACAGTAGATGGATCCCGTCTAGATTTTCTTTTATTATTATTATTCTCATCCAAGTAAACTGAAGGCAGAAATCCTGCTCTTTCATTTCTGTTCACTTCACAGGAAGATGAATTAGTGTCAGTGTATACCAGAAATAATTACTTACTTTTAAGAAACTTCCCAGCGCCCCTCTGTACAGTGTTCATTGGGATTCTCCTGTCAGTGTCAGCACTAAATGAGTTCTTGTGTGTTGTAGGATCCCCAAATATATGAAGGGGCTTTTTTTTCTGTACTTATAATTCACCCAAAAGAAATGAAGGTGCGTACCACCACCCCAAGGGTCTTTTTGTGGATATCTGAAGTTCCCTCCACCTTCAAAGGTCACTGGTTGGGTATGTCTGTAGTTAGGCTGTTGTCTTCAGTTTCCTCTATGCTCCCTTCATTGCATACAGCCTCCAGTGTGAGGATGAGGTTATCCAAGCCCCACAAGTATCCATCCTCTCGGTTTCCCTCCTGCCAGGGAATGTCATGACTTAAAGTCTGGCCCTCAGGCAATGCTGTGGTCTTTCCAAAGTCAATAATCCAGATCTCTGCATGGCCCGTATGGTCATGGATAAAGAGGAGGGAGCTGCCAATAACCTGATGGAAAATAAGAGAGATATCATAATAAACCTTTAGTTTTAAGATCACATAAAATGAGAAAAAAGCAACATAAGATTAATCTCACAACTGAGAAATGTCAATTCTCAAACCAGATTGTGGACCATTCAAGAGAGTAAAAAAACCTACCTAAATATACAATCTGAAAAAATATTAAACTAAATGCAAAAATACAGTTACGCATTTAGAAAACAAACAGATTTACACTCCCATCCACATGCATATATAAACATGAACTATCATATGTATTGCATATGTGTGTTTGTTAATCTATAAGTAAGAGCAGTCAGCTCAAGCATAAACATTTTTTTTATCAACTCATTATCAAACATTAATTATATTTCAGTTTCATTTAAAAAATATTTGAAACTCTGCAAGAAGGAAAAGAACTGCTCTTAAAAGATTTTACTATAATATTTAACCCCCTAATTTGTTTAGACTTTTAGACTTTAGACAACTGTATTGTCATTTTGAATACACAGAGTGTATACAAAATAAAGCTTTTTTTGTACAGCTTTCAGGCAGTGAATGAGCAGCAGCTTAGCAGTGAAATGAACATTTTAATTTCATAAAGTGCAGCAGTGATGAAATGAATTCACTGTATATTAAAAATGAAATAATAGAATGGGTTCCCAAGAAATTAAAACTGCACTGGATCAACGCCTTCAAGTTGACAAGAAAAACTGATGTAAAACTGAATTATTTCTACAGAACTCTGCAGCAGCTGCCCAGTACGGTGGTGGTAGCATCATGATGTGGGACAGCTTTACTGACACAACACACAGTGTGGTTAAATAACGTATGAAGGCTACTTTTAAATTCCTCAACTTCAGCCCAAATCCACAGCTAAATGGCTGCTACGTGGACATAGCTGGGTGTTATGATGCATCATCAATCCCAAACATGTGGTACAAAAACCTTCTGTTAGAGGGACAAGAAAATCTACTAATCTTATCATAAAGTTGTTGTTTTTTTGTACTAAATATGCAGCGAGAATGATGACAGAAGCTTGCTGCTCTCTAGAAAAGGTTCTTGTTTTCTCTGTAACCTGCTGAGGGATGATAAACATAAGTTGTGGGTGTTTGTTTGTATATTTTTAAATCATGTGTGAATAACTGAAAGTTTCAGTATCTTGAATAGAAAGGTCTTGATTTTAAATTACAAAATATTAAACGGATATCCAATGTAACAGTTGAAGTTAAAGTAATTGATTTTGGGGGATTTCTTACTACATGAACTAAAACCACCCTACCAAAAATGTGTTTGTAACAAAACAACCCATGAGGGATGTGATATATTTAAGGGAACTAGCTGAGGGGGAGGGGCTTCAGCACTGACTGAAATAAACGGTCTTCATAATTATGAGGTGAATATGCTAATTTCACAAAGTTGTTTAAATGTATTTATGTGCTTGAATATTAATATGAAGGTTTTAGTTTTTAAGGTTCTAACTGGCCAGATTTTCTTTAAAAATTAGTTTTAATAATAAGACGTTTCCCAACTTAAACAGACATTTTTTTTACTGAAAAAATACATTAAAAATAGTCTTTTTATTCGACCATTTATGACTAAAACATCGTTTGATGGGCAGATAAAGCTTAAGTAGTTCAGCACTGATGCATCTATGAGCCTGCAGCCTATTTTCCTTGATTAATTTGGGGGGAAGTTCCTGCACTCTTCATTATAGTCACGATTATGTGGACACTCTGAAGCGACTGGCATTCAGCTCAACTCAGACCACACCAATGGCAACTCTAGGGAGGCTGAAAAAAAAAATATTTTAAAATAGAAAACTCTTCAAGTACCAGCTAAGAGAATGAGCAAAAGAGTGCTGCAGTTCCGTATTTTGGCCATAGGTGGCAGGAACATCAGAAAACTCAGTAATATTTCTAACACTAGTTTAAAAATAACTGTGTTAAAAATATAAAGCTTTACAAACACATTGATGAATTTTTAGTGTTGTTGAAAATTAAATCCAAACATCACATATAAACAGAAAAATAAGCTTTAAAATCAGAAAGCTTCAGAGTCAGAATTCCTTTCTCTGTCCACAAAACTCATCCTCACAGCAAGCATTAGCCCTCACCTCGTGTTGCTTGAAGAATTCAGATGTTTGCAGGGCTTGTCGGATCTCCTTTAGCCTGAGCAGGTAAGACTTCTGCATTTCCCATAAAGAAAAGAAAAAAAAAAACAGGGATCACACTTTGAATTTTGTTTTAATCCATCATTTAAAATGCTGTTACACACTAACATGGGGGCAGAGCTTATGTTTGTGCACCAAAACTCAAACAGGTTTGTAATGTGAATATTTACTTTCTGCAAAGAAGCTTGAAATGTTCCCTCACCTTCAATATGTTTATTTTTTTCATGATTTAATCACCTAGTTGTTTCAAGTCATTCCAAAATGTAAGCACAGATACAACAAAGTCACTCTTTTGGCACTGTCTAAATACTGAACAAGGATGTAAAAGCTTACACAGCCTGTGTTTTTTGTGTGGGTGAAGACAGACTAAAAGGTAACGCCTGCAGAAATGTGCTGTTTTATTTGGATATGCATAGAAGGTTTGCATGTGTTCTCGCTTGATTAAATTCACAGTAAGTGTGCAGGAAAAACAGTTAAATAACTGACTGACTGCTACGTACAATGATGTCGGCATCCCCTCCAACAAAGTTCTTGAACACCTGGATGACATCCTGCTTCGATCTGGTTTTCTTGAAGTCAGTTCGACACGAACCGTCATATTTCTAAGGGGGGGCAGAGAAGCAGGAGAACAATATATAATCTTAATATTTGGTCCGATTACATCAGTGTTAATCAGCCTGCATCAATTTTCTCTGTTGAAAGCCTTAATAACGGAAGTTAGGAGGCTATTCAACACAAATATTGATAGTCTTTTAATATGTATACATAAACAAATACATTTTTGAACTAGTTCCTTAAATATAAAAGACTGGGCCAGGCTGCCTTTCTCCAGTGCTAGAGGGCTGCATATTGTCATGCTTTTTGTCTAAAACTGTGTATCTTATTATATTACAATATTATATATTGTGATCTTTTTTAACTCATATAGCATTTTTTTTATTAATTCTTATTTTATTTCATATTAATTTTACACTAATCCAAAGCATATGCATGTTTTGCTCCAGGGTTTCATTTTTTCCATTGCCTTGAAAACTCTTGTCCAGAGTCCATCGCTGAGAGACTGAATGGTTAAAACTGTGGTTATTTGTTCAACCTTAATCCCTTAACCAACACCTAAAGCAAAAGAATGCCCCCTCCAACGGGCTGCTGCAGTGATGATGAGGAAATTCATCAGCTCTGCAGGGATGTATCTAAAATTAGCCCTTACGACTCAAGCATCCCAAAACTACAATATCTTAGTCCTTACCTCTGCTGAAGGCAGATAGGTCAAGGGTTCTACACCAGAAAGCTTATAGCACTCCCATAAAACTGGTTTGGCATACAGCAAATACTCAAAAGTGTGCACACCCTTGTTTGTTTGTTTTTTTAGAGCTGTAAAGTTACATATATCCTTTAAAAGTCAACCGAAAAACCAACTAATCTGTAAGGCAGGGCTACGGCCTTAAACAAATACCTTGTTAACACACAGCTTAGTTTCAGCATCTTTAAAATTTTAGAAAATGAATATCAGCTTACTTCGAAACATGATTAAAATGACAAGATTACAGTTTCAAACTGCCCATCAATTACTAAAAAACTGATTAGATTAAAAGTAATTTTTTGTTAACTTGTAATTATCGCATTCCATAACTATAACCAAAGTTTGCTAAAACGAATCAATTGTTGAAGGGTACCAGTTAAAAAGAAGAAAGCACCTTTCTAGTACAGGATCTGACCCAAAACTGTTGTAATTAAATTCAATTAGATGTTGGAAAGACATCTAATTACATGAAGATAAACTGGTTATCATGTTCCACTGTGTTGAAGAAATGCTTTACTGGATTAAGTCTGGTGGCTCTGCATAGCATTGGAATAAGGGGTGTCAACAATAATTGATTCAGCGATGCATTGCAATGCGGGGCATGCTCGATTCAGCATCGATGCGGCAACGTGCCATAATCGATTATGTCACTGTTTATTTTCTGGCCTCAAATGGACAAGTTGTGAAGTTTCAATTACTTCCGGGGGCATACCAACAACAATCAAGATGGCTGAGGCGGAGGGAGATGACTGCGATAGACGGGTAGGCCTAATTAAAAACGCACCAAAAGCTTGGAAAGCGGATATCTGGGAACATTTCGGATTTTACGAAGTCAATGGGATTTTGATGCATCGCAATGCATCGTAGAATCGAATTGAATCGAATCGTTACCTGGTGAATCGTAATCGAATCGAATCGTGAGGGCAGTGCCAATGCACACCCCTAATTGGAATACAGCAAAACATGATCATTTCCATTGAACCACACTGACAACATTTTTCAATATGTGTATCCTGCTTGGAGTACCAACAGAAAGACTGATACACTGTGGTCATAAAGGAAAAGATACTGTATGGCCAGCAACATTGCCCAGGGAGGCTGTGGTATTTAAAGGATCCTTAACTGGTATTAGGCATGAAAAATGTCACCAACATTAAGAACCTGAGCCACCGATTCAACAAGGCTCACTCGTTTCATGTTGTTAAAACCACTAACCATTAATTCTGACCAAACCATGTGAATGCTGCAGCTAAAATTGCTGAGACTCATAATACCAGGCAATATGTTTCCAATTTGCTGTTGAACAATCTAGGTAATACTATGTGAACTGAAGCCACAGTTTAACGATTTTCTTCTCCTTCTCTGATGCTTAGATTGAAAATCTCCACGTTGCCTTTAAGACATCTATATTTCTAAACATATTAGGTGTTTTTCTTAAACTGCATGAGACTGGAAATGCTCAGGGAGGTGGCAAAGGGCTAACAGTAAATCTAAGGCAGCTCCAAGAAGTTAAAGTGACCATCGACTGTATTGTCTAACTATCTGGATTATTCAGTAGATTTGTAGCCTAAAGGAATACTAAAAAATCTTGTCTTGGAGGGTGATATGATCTAATGAATCAAATGATTGAGCTCTAAAGGAGGATTTTGTAAAAAAAAAAAAAAAAAAAAAAGGCCCCATCATTACATAAACCAAGTTAAACAAAACAGTGGCTGCATCATGATGCCATTTGTTTTGTTTTCTGATAAAACAGCCATTTTTGTAAAGTTTGAGGAAAAAATTTAAGTAGTTCCCCAAAAACTGTAAACTTTGACCAAAAACACTGAAGTCAGAGTAAAGGAACAAATAATAGTAACAGTAATCTTTATTAGTTATTGCATCTTTGCATATTCCAATTGAAATTCGCTTCTGCATTTAGTTCAGGCAGAAGGTTGCCAATGTCCAGAGGAAAGGGTGCTGCTGAGGAATTGCAGAGATGTAGCATGTAGGATTCAAACCAGAGAGGTTTGAGGTCTTCCTAAGACCCAATAAACCCTTAAAACACTTTCTTTTTAAGAGCATTAGCCTGTGCAAACATCAAAATACATGCAGGAAGGTCTCCACCTGAAGAAAGTGATGCAATGGAGAGCAAAGTCCAGATTTCTGTTTAACAGATGTCACCTAAAGAGGGCTGTGATCTACAGTTACAGTATCAGGGGCACATTTGCAAGCAAGTGTTGCTGTACATCAAATTGTTGTAAATGTAGTTATTGTTTCTTCCAACAAACATAATAATGTATTTCCAGGATGAAATTTAAAAGAAGTATGTCTTTATGTAATGATTCATTATGTCTCATTATTGAGCTCATAAAATAGAGACACTAAGAAGTATTTTAGGTGTGTAGTCTTATTATCCACCTTGTTTTATTAGACATGTTTTAATGAGAATTACATCAGACCTCTGATACAGGTAACTTCTCCTTCTGCAATAAAACTCACCTACATTATGCATAAAAGAGAAGCTCCCGGTGTCTAAAGAGAGGAACACCAAACATGCCTGTTTTTAGTGGCTAGAGGCACACTTTACTTATCAAAAAGCCCAGCCCAGATATATTTGCAAAAAGTATATTACTTTCTATTTACTCTGCAGGCAAGGTGTTTAATGATCACTTTGTAAAAAGTGCACTTATAAATCTTGGGTTAAGCATCCAACAAAAGACTTTGATAAAGACCTGAGTAACGTCTCCAGGTAACAAAAGAACAATTTTGTACAATGCAACCAAGCCTTTGGTCTACATTGTTGTACAAAGGGTGGTACTCAAGGTACCACCCTTTAATTACCTTGAAGTGATGCTTCAATCTAGTTATTTCTCATTGCACTAAGTATATGAATGACATGTCACCTTGATGCCCTCTATCCTGAAGCCCAGCGTGTTGGTGGAGCTCATGCTTTCCCTCCACTGCATGTAGCGAGGTTTGGTGACGCCCCGCTGGAAATGCTCCTGCGGAGTTGGGCCTTCATTATCCACCTCCACCATCTTCTTGTACAGGTCCTCGCGAGGCTTGGGTCGCTCCCTCGCTCTGACAAGCTCCTCCTCTAGGTAAGTCCTTTAAAATATAAGGAAAATTAACATTTATTTCTTTTCTGTTTTAGCCTTTTTTGTTGTTTCAGATCATCAAACATATTTTTTTAGATCAAATAAAGACAACTATAGTGAAAAATAATAAAAGATATAATAAATGACAGAGCCATGGGTTCAGATCAACCAATGTAATTGGTTAACCAAACAATTATTAAAAATTGTAACTGGTGGTTTACTTCTCTGACTGTAGTCAAGTGTAGTTTGTAAAAGTTATGGAGCTATAGAACAATAACAGTGATCGTTTATGTACAGAATGCAAATCTTGGCTTTAAACTTAGTTGTAACATTAGTATTAACTATTAATAAATTCCACAAAGCATTAGTGGGAAAAGGGGTGTTGGATGCAGGAGTTTGCCCCGAAACCAAAGGGTTGGTGGTATAAGTCCTCATCCTGGCTTTAAATGTTATTCCACTAATTGACCAATATTTTGATAAAAGTCACCAAATTTGATTGTCCCCTTCACCTATATATAAAGATTGGTTAAAAACACTAGAAAATTTTGATTGGTTGTTTTTACCAAAAGATTGGTTGGACACATAACTACCAACCAGATTGGTACAGTTCAACCTATTGTTTGGATGTATAGACCAATATGTTTTAGGTATTATGCTAAAAACCCCAATGAAACAGTTTATGAGGCCACCAACATAACAGGTTTGACTGTTAGTATAGTATTTTTTGTTTCATATCTATATGCCATATACAATAAGAAGTTTAAAAAAGGTTCTTTGGGTCATTAAAATGTTTTTGTGTGACTAATGTAAGACAAATATTGGTGTTATTTAAAATCATCTGTTGTTTTTACATTAAAACCTCTTAATGGATGCCTTCTATGTCTTTTACTAAATAGATTAAATAGTCATCATAACAGAGAACAGCGAGGGCTGCAAGATTTTACATGTTTTAGGGTATTTTTCCGACTTCATAGAAAAGCCGTCAACAGACTATTGGTGAAATAAAGCTATGCAGATAGTGTACTTGTAAGTTAATCTTTTCAGCACTAACTCAATCAACTTTTGCATGTTTCAGTTTTTTTATATACATTTTTTTACATAATGTATTTGAGTGTTATAGCTTATGTATTTTTGCTTAAAACTTGTTTTTAAGATGACTGGTAAAAACCGTCCAGGGACAGCAATGAAAAAAAGCCACTAAGACTAATTCTGATACATTTAGAGAAGTGTCCATTAAAGTGCATTGTTCCTGTCAAACTTATAAATAAATAAAAGAGGGGTCGGTGCCTGTTTCTAATGGTGCTTTCAGACCAGACGCTCTGTCTTGCGTGTGCGATGGATTCACTTAGAATTCCTATAAAATAATGCAGGGAAGGGCGGGAAGCGGCGAGCAGTGAATCCCACACAGTGAGGGCATTCACTGCTCTGCCCTCACCTCGTGTAACTAATTAGAGCTGAGGTGTTGTCAAAAAGCAGCACCGTATGGACAGAGAGAAGCTGTGATCGCTGAAGATTAAAAGAGCCGAACTTTTCTGTGAAATCGCAACGTGGTAACCAATCAGGGACTGTTTTTTTACACTTAAAATGGAACACTAAGAAAATAAAGTTGACAAAGATAGAAATAAGGATGGTCTCAAGATCTTTTTAGGTGGCTTTAAAAAAAATACTTTTTCAGCCCTAGAATCACTGCTCTTTGTCCTCCAGCACAGAGCTCAGTTTGTAACTGCCCAGCATCGCCATCCAGACGCAGCTCTGGATAAACCAAAGTGGACTCAGCAGTCCTTGATGTTGAGTTTTACCTGTGCTTTTATTGTAAAATACCCTCAGCAAGACCTGAACAGGAAGTGCTATGGGGTTGCCAGGGTTAACGGCAGGTCCAAAGCAAAGGGTCTGGGAGTTGTTTCACGTTGTTGGGGTTTTAACTTCATGTAGCTGAAGCTCAACCTGTTGGATGACGTGGTCCAGGTGTAAACATTGTGCAACTCCCCGCAGGGCAAAATGCATATAAGCAACTTACCGGTGACACTGCATTCGGTCTGAATGAACCATAATGGTCATTTTGGACAGCTTACAGAGACACAGAGAACAAAGCACAATGCATGGAGAAACCTAGATTTAAGCATGACAGAGTACCCCGAGAGAACCCACATATGGACAAAGAGCTCATGCAGAAAGACCTAAAGCCAGACTTTGAACCTAGGACCTTCTTAACACCCACACTGTCTATTCCCAGGAACTCACATTTGTTTTTGCACAAAGGGTTCGGTTGGTTGGAGTTTGTTAGAATATGCATACTATTCTTACCAACATTTAAAAATAGTAATAATTTTTTTTGGGTCATCCACAACTTTAATCATTGTACACAACTCAAAAACATACATTTGAGGGGTTTCAGACTTTCAAATTTGGCCTTTGATTTGAAACTCTTAAAAACAATCAGATAGGTCAAATAGATTTTCACAGAACTGTATTTCCTGACTTCTAGTGAATAATTTTTAACACATTTAATTGATTAAATTTAAAAGGTTTTTGCACTCCGTGTTTATTTATGCACAGATGAGATACCAGTACAGAAAAATACTGTATAATAAGTAATCAGCAACTTACAAACATGCATAAACATGCATAAGTTTAAGACATACAGTCTTCATGTTCATGCCCACAATTCTGTGCAAACAGACATGAATTTTAGTTTCAGTTTGGTAGCTTCACTTCCTCTGAGCTGGAGAGGGAAGCTACGAGGAGACTCCTGTGAGCAGCACTGTGCTATGTGAAAGCCCAAGTGTGTTTGTGCAAGTTGGTGGTTTTGCAACTTTGTGGTTGAGAGCATTTTTGACAAAGGGGAGTCTCCAGGGACACCCTTAGCGAGCAAACTGAGTGTTTGCGTATATGAACAGTCTCAGATATACAGACAAACTCTTACACAGGTGGATTTAAAACAATTAGTCAATATATGTGGTAATGTACATCTGTGAGATTTGTGCACCAACAATGTGTAGCGTATGGCTGTTGCAGGTTTGTGCATGAACATTCACTTGTTCAATCAAGCGAAATTTTTGTTTGCATCTGCATGTTCGTGCATGCAAAAAAGGTGTGCATGTATGAATTCCTGAGAGCATTCATGCGCCAATGGATGTGTAGAGTTATGCACATTAACTGTGAGGCCCTCCACCCGCTGTGGCAGGAAGCCAAGCATACAGCCTGCAGTTACAACAGGTGTTCCCTTAAAGAGGCAAACCGAGGCAGACAAAAATCGTACTGCTGTTTATATGCATTTTGCTTGTTAGTCAATTTGCAATCTAAAATTGATTAACTATTAGGCTATTAACTAATAGGTAAAAACTGAAAACAATTCTGAAAATATATGACAAGAATTATTGAAAAGATTTTATTTATTTTTTTTGGTTAATGTTGAAAGAGTGAAAAATAGCACCCGGCCGTGCTCACTCACCTCACTCCCATTTTACAATCCATCACGTTGGGATGATCAAAGTTAGCCAGCAAGTCTGTCATCTGCAAGAAGGCCTCTCCATCATTTTCCACAACGCCAAGGTATTCCGGTACAAACTGGAACAGCACGTCTTGCCGCAGCTTCTCAAAACACTGCATCTCGTTTTCGGACAACTTTTTCAGAATGGTCCCCTCATCTGCAGCTTTGAAGTTGCCTGAGATGAGATGAAGACAGTTTCACATTTATGCATACTGGCCGTATCAGACCGTCAAAGAACATACAGTAGGTCTACCTCAATATGGGGATTCTGACAAGATTGTGCAATCACTGCCTGACTCTTTAAAAGCACTGAATGTGAATTCCAGGAAACATGTTGCAAGGCAGAGATAGGCAGAATGTGTAGGAAAATTACAAGCCTGCCTTCAGTCATTCATAGCAGGTAATCTGTGTTTTTACTTTCAGCTGCTCAATTTGGTTGTGCAGGCATTAGTAAAAAGGCATAATATTAACAGGAGGACAGAGGTGTACAGAATATTGCTTCTATAGTATGTGAGCAGAAAGCTTCCTCGGAATTCTTTCATCATGAAAGTTCCCTCAGTGTTTGGTCTTGTTCTGAGGTACAGCAAAGAGAAATCCTTGATAATGATCCTGCTGTTCTTGGCAGTTTTTCAAGGTAAATAAAGGTGAAACCCTCGAAACCTTACTGACACAAAAAGCCTTTAACTCAGGGAATCATTCTCTTTGAAAAGGTACGTAAAAGATGCTTTCTTCTCTGTTTATATCATGATAAAAATCTTTATGTCAAATAAACATCATCTAACTAACTCTGCAATATTACTTTAATGGAACGCGAAAAAGAAACCGCCGATGTAGAGGGTTGGCCACTTATTTAACAAATTATAACACAGATAATTAGAGCCTATAACAAAAGGACACAACAAAATACATCAGCTGAAGGAAATAAAGCTGTCATTGTAGTTTAATGAAGTTTCCAGCTATGCAGGTAACTTGTGTCTGTAATGTAAGTGCACCTTTATGCCCAGCTAGCTGAACCCAGCTTAGTTTCTTCTTTTGGGAAGCATGGAAGGGCCAGCGGATGTAGGTCTTCAGCCTTCTCCAAGGCTTACTCTGTTGAAAACAGGCAAAGAAAAAAAGATTTCAAATCTTGTAAAGGAAAGATGTGAGGTGCTGCTTATCAAAGAACACATGGTTTGCTGACCAGAACAATAGACGGAAACCAACTTTAGCCCCGTTTTAAAACATCTGAGTTTAAATCTGAACATATAGGAGGTTCTGGACCGCCAATCTGATGCCGGGCTTTCTGTTTTCCTCTGTGTGATGCCTCCAATCTGGGTCACTTAAATGCCACTTCTGTGGAAACTCCTATCTGCCTACAACATCTCCAGTGTGGCCTGCTGCCGGGTTCGCCCTTTATCATAAACACAATGTTCTCTCCATTTCACAAAGGGAGCAGAAGTTTAAACAACCAGAAACATGTTCTATAAAAAGCAGCCGGCCTTTTATGAATTCTAATAAAAATACAGAAACATCGCAGTCAGAGTATCATTAGTTACATATCATATCTATATCACAAAGTTTCTGCACAAGTAAGGAATCTGGCTTGTCGCTTATAACATAATCAACAATACAAAATACAACTGCACAATGTAAAAGCACTCTAAAAGGGATCAAGGGCAGGATAAAAAATAAGATAAGTGGAATGTACAAGTACACCTCTTTTTTGTAAATGCATAAAAAGAGTAAGGCAGCACAAAGCCCTGATTGTTCTGGTGTATCTAACTATGCTGCTGTGAGATATCCATGGAGTTCAACGGTGAGAGAGCCAGAGGAAACAAACTACCTCTGTTGCTGTGTTTATGTAATTAGTAACAATTCCCTGAAGGGAAGAGGATGAAAAGGCCAGGATGCATGGAGTCAACCACAGCCGACCCAAGGCATAAGCAAACTAAGCGACAAACAAAAATAGGCCTTTTCTACATTATAATATAAAATAATCAGGTACAAATAACTACTAATGTAATGAAAATATATATTTCAGGGACCGGAACTTCTCTAATCCTTGGAGCACAACAATAAGGTGGATATTTTATTCTATATAATTATGTCTGTTTTTGTAAAATTTGATGTATTATCTTTATTTTCCAAGGCTATTTTATTTACCTGTTGTTGTTTTTGTATTGCAGGTTATATTGCCATATTTCTGTTATAGTTTGAACCAAAAAGTATAAACCACATTTTTACTTTGAATAAAATGCGGAGTACTTTATGTAATAATTTTGAGGCACACAAACAGTAGACTGTAAACATCACCAAATAGATATTACTGTCAGAAACAGAGATGGATGACAATGTAACAGATTGGTGGTGTAGTGGATAGCCACCAGCAACTGCAGAGGGTCAAACTTCCTATGTTACAGTCTTTGCTGGGCTTTTTTTTATGTGTGAGGAACAGCTCAGGTTACAAGAGAGATTGCTTCCTAAGAACCTGGAGCAGTCCACAGTCAGGATGCTGAGGAGAGGGTGGGTGGGGGTGTTTTCCAGGAGTCCACCATTACTAAATCTTGATTTGAGCAGTTTTAGCTTCTAAACGAGACAGCAGACCTGTCAAGATCTTGCCGTTGATGATTGGCTTAATTACTCATTCCATTCACCTGTCTATCTCTGCCCAGTTTCCAATCACTGCTTATCTGATCCACCTGTTCCTGCCTCTATTTAAGGTGCTTGCATCCGTTGATGATTGGCTTAATTACTCATTCCATCCACCAGTCTATCTCTGCCCGGTTTCCAATCACTGCTCAGCTGATCCACCTGTTCCTGCCTCTATTTAAGGTGCTTGCATCCAGTTATCAGGCGAGATTATCTTGTTCTCTCCAGCCAGTGGTAAGAGGGTTTTTAGAGTTCATTAGTGTTTCTGAATACCTGATCCTGTTCTGCCTCAGCCACTGAGCCTGCCTGTTCCTGTCTGAATGGTTTGTCTGAACTGTCTTTGGACTCCTGGACCTCGGAGCCTGACTGTTCCTGCCCTGATCAGTTTGCCTGAACTAGCTTTGGAATTCTACTTGTTCTCTCGGGCTGCAGCATCTGGGACACTCTGGGCGGCGCCCGCGCATTTTATTGGCAGCCCACCGGCTAGATCCTACCTGGTTCTCTGACTGAACTGGTAAACCAGGTTAGTGACTCATGTTCATAATCTTCCAATGTAAGATTTACATGGTCACTAACCTGTCCTTCTCTCCTCCAGAGTTTCCAGCCTCAGACGTACTAGCCACTGCTAGTCGGATTCACAAGTTTTAAATAAACGCTTTTGATTTATCCCACTGTCTGTCTTGCCTTGAATACTAGGTCCTCTGTTCTGAGTCATGACAAGACCAGGTCCACCTCCTGTGATGCCATCTGCAAACAGCAGGGGCGCCATAGTACGAGTTGCTGAGGTGCAGTCAGGAAGAAGGGGAGTTAAGAGACAACACACCACTTGGGGTTGACTGCAACCCCTGCCAACTTGTTTGCAGGATATTCAAATTGCAGGTGGTCCAGTTGGAGGGCCTTTGATGTCCTTTAGATGCATCAGAAAAAATTTTGTGTCTGCAGACATCCGAGCAACATACCAGTAGTTTTTATTAAGTGGCTAAAAATTTAAAACTTTCTTTAAATATGTTTGAGTGCTCTTTGTAAACTAGGGATACATCATACACAACATCAACACCAAGAGGAACTGCTTTGCCCCAATAATTACACACTAATTCATTTTTACACATTAACTTCACAGTAACTGAATTATTGATGCTTGTTGTTTATTGAGGCAGCAGATTTTTTTAGGACATCAAGATGATATGTGTAAAACAATTAAGAAACTATAATATCCATAATAAATTATCTCCATGATGTTAGGATGGACAAAAAAAAGATATTTTTCCCACAACTGGAAAGATGAGTCATGCTTTGCTGTTTGCAATAAACCTAAAGCAGCAATAATTGCATAATTTATTCTCGGTATTACCTTATTAACCATAAGTGAAATCATCTGTGTGACCTTGCATTTTTTGTAGCCCTGTAAGCAATCAGCTTCTCTAGAAACATAGCTTCTCTTTTGTGGCTTACCCATGTAGGGGTCTCGAACCCTTGTTCTGCAGATATACGGTCCTGCACGGTATAGATAAATCTCTGCTTCAACACAGCTGAACAATATGAATGGCTACTTAGAAAAACTTTGTCAATCTTGATGACAGCTAAAGAGGTACTCAATCATTTGATCCATCTGAATGTCAGCAGGGTTGCATCTAAAACCTGCAGGACGATAGATCTGGAAGATCAGGGATGGAGACGCTGCTAGAGGGTATAAATGACTGTTTGTCCAGTCAGCAATCCTCCCCGTGGCTGTGTAAGCTATTGCATCACAGTAACATTGACAAAACCTTTTATTGCTACATCAAAATGTATTTTTAATGTCGATTTGGAGTATTCTAACTTTAATTCCAATACATTTGTGAGTGTGGTTTGAATTTATCCAATGTATAAGTTTCACAGATTTTATTTTTAGTGAAATAAACAGAAAAATTACAGGATAGAAACACTATTGAACAAATAACCTAATCAGGCAAAAAAAAATAAAAAATCAAATTCAAGACATTTACCGCCGCACTTAAAAACAGTGACCTGCACACTAAACCTCAATTTCTGCTGTGGGAATAAGGAGCTGGCTTCTCTGTCCATCCCCGGACTTCAAAGGGGTCATTTTCAGGAAATGAAACAGGTACAGTGATCACAGAGTGAGGCATAGTTCATCGCTGTCCATCGCCATCAGTAATAGCAGAACTCTTGCAGAAAAAAGCCTGTGCTCCCTTAAATGTCAGATGATACGCTTCACTGGCTTGTTTACTGACAGCATTACATTGCTAAAAGCAGCAGACCTTCAGAAATATTTTAACGCTGTAAGCTTTTGACATTTACTGAGCTGGCAGCTGATGCAGTTATTTCTCTGTGGTGTTGATATTCTGTCGTGATCACTGGGAATAATGAATAAAATGTGAAATTTGATTAAACATGTTTGAAGAAAGAGCTAAACTGGACATTAGGGAATAAAAACAGGACTAAGCTTTGAAGTAAACATGATCACTAGATATTATTCACACTCTGAATTACCTCTTTGAAACCATGCCTTAATAGTATTCACAGCCCCAAACTTTTAAGTATTTTTAATAAGTGGCTGAACATTTAAAACTTTCTTTAAATACGTTTAGGTGCTCTTTGTAAACTAGGGCTACACAACATCAACACCAAGAGGAACTGCTTTGTCCCAAAAAATACACACTAATTAATTTTTACACATTATCTTCATCAGTAACTGAATTATTGATGCTTGTTGTTTATTGAGGCAGCAGATGTTTTCCATGACATCAAGATGATCTGTGAAAAACAATTGAGAATTGGTTTTTGGAGCTTTGCCTTAATAGTCTTCACACCCCCAAACTTTTTAGTATCTCATCCCAAAACAACCACAATTGGGGAAAAAGCTGTGACACTCTGTCCAACCCATTTTCTCTGCAGTTTGGACATCCAGAGGCTAAAAATGTGGATCTTTGCAAAGCAGCTCAATTCATTTATTAATTTTTTAATTCTTACATCGGATTCCACGTGGGATCTAGGTCTGGACTTTTACTAGGCCATTTCAACACATACATTTTTTTTTATCTAAAGCAGACTAATGTGAGTCTTTCTGTGTGATTTGTAGTCATATGGATGGTAGTGGATCCTCTGCAGCCTCTAACACAAGGAAAGTGTAACCATTTTGATCCTCAGGACACTCAATACAATTTGTCATAGCTGGTAACGTTTCATCAGATTGTTTTTTTTTTTTCATCAATATCTGCACAGAACCATAACTTAATCATATTTTGGTTTAAAAAAAAAAATGCCGGTAAAGGATGGATACATGTCCCCTAATGGGCTTTAAATTAAAGACAATTACAAGGTCGGCTTTCTATCACCTGAAGAACATTTCCAGGATTAAAGGACTAATGTCTCAGCATGATCTGGAAAAAATTAATCCATGTTTATTTTTAGTCAAATTGATTACTGCAAAAGTGTTTTCACAAGTCTGCCTAAAAAGA